AGGAGTCATACAAAAAGGAAGCTACTTATCCACTCCAGTGTTGTTTTTCTGGAATGTGGCCCAATTGCACTTACCATGGGCAATAGTTCTGTGGAGAAAGGGGAGTATGAAGAGAGACATATATTCTGGGGGAAAAAGTTAACTTTAGTTCAGAATCACCTGAGTTTGCTTGATTAAGTCTCCTTTACATGTATCTGAAAGGTCTTCAAAGTATAATTTTAGTTTAAAAAATTGTGTCAGAGTAGAAAATATGAAGGTTGCTACCGCGTGGTAGAAAACTGGAGTAATTCCTTAAGGTGCAGAGCTGGTGAGACATTCCAAGAGCAAGACAGACAGACTCTCTGAGGAGCATCAAGGACAGGGGAGGCCAGTCCCAGGGGAATTCCTACACCCAGGAGTCCAGAGGCTGAGGCTGAGCTCGGCTGCCAGTGAGCAGAGCTCTGTAGGAAGTTCATCATTATCTGCTGACCTCATAGTGGAGGCAGGTGGCAGCTGCTTTTCCCCAGCTAAAGGGATGTGGACAGCTGGTGCTGGGACACTGTCACTGAGAAAGAGAGCTCTGTAACCACTGCCCTCCTGCCACCCTGCCATCGCCAGCAGAGTACCTTGTTTCCTTCAGCGCTTCCAGACATTGCTCTCTCCCCAGTCATTATGGAGATCTGGATTTCAGGTCTGGCACAGAACCATCATAAACAACTAACTTTTCCCTTCCTTTCTTATCTTACACTGAAAGAACTCACCAGAGATTGACTTAGTACTTACTAGATGAGTGTGGAAATAAAGCACCCCCATCATGACACAAGATGAGAAAATTTGCTGGGTATGATACAGTGTTCTGTAATTCAAAAAAGAAATTATTTTAAGGCATCAAAACGCTCCCCATGAAGCAGATTCCTGAAAGAAACAGGAGAAAATCTTGGAGAAGCTCAATTTGCTTTCTCAGCAGGACTTAAAAAGACATTATAGAATAAAAAGGGCATACCTGAGTTCAGAAATTATTTTAGCATGAAAATACAGTCACTGCAAGGAACTGAGAGAGTGAATATATAACTTGATTGTTAGTTACAAGAAAGCTCAAGTAATTCTCATAAAATTACACTAAACAATGGAAAACTGAATCTAATGAGAGAGAGAGGCAGGAAAAGCCCATTAAGATCTATACAACAGAAATGCCAGAAAGAGAAGTCAGAGAAGAAGTAAAAATAAAAACAACTGTAAAACACAATTTACTTGACTTTAAAATTTGAGTTTTTTAATATGAAAAGCTCAATCATAATGACAATAAAATTAATTCAGATCAATTAGTATTTAAATTTTGGGAGTGTTAGGGTGAAAGTCCACCAAATATCTGTACCTAAATCTCAAATAGATTAAGATAAAGACAAGAGAAATATCTGTGTCCTCTACAACACAGCACTCATATTCCCTATGTGTGTCTACATGGGAAAATATTGCAATCCTGAAATATTAAAGACAGTAAAGGTGCCACAGAAATATGCACTCCGGTGTGTGGAGATTCAGAAGTTAAAAATTCAGAAGATTCCTAAAGTAAATATTAAAGTGAAATATAAAGTTTACTTAGGAATTAATTACAAGAAAAACTTGGTCACGTACTATAAAAGAAAGGACAGTCTATCAAAATGTAAGGAAGACACGGAACTAAGAGTTAAATCTGTCTTAATAACATGTCCATGAAATTTCAATACAAATGCCAAATAGGATGTCTAAAAAAAAAGATTATGTTAAAATTTACTAATCATCTGGATAGAAAAATAACAAATTATTTTAATAGACCCTGAGGGGAAGAGGAGTGGAAGCTATAGAAGTAGGTTGATATATTATTTATCATAATGTGATATCCAAGTTTAAATAATTCTTGATGGTTATTAAAAATTAAACTTTAAATAACATTAATTCTTTAGTAGTTAATGCATGTGATAAAAGAGAATGGATAAGTTTTAAGTGGCTAGAGGGGGGTAAATGACAATGAAAACACCAATGGCAAAGAAAATGTAAATGCTGAAAAATAGAAAAGTAAAATGAGAAATACCATGTAAATTCTTACATATCACCAATCATAGTTTTTTTGTAAAAATCACAACCCAAAGCAGTCTCAATTTAAGTCAAAATCAAACATTACCAGACTGCATAATTTTCATGCCTCAACATGGGAACTTGCTTCAGTCGCCCCAAGCCCCAGTGTCCAGCCCCATCACTGGGCTTCCCTCCTCTCCCCTCCCCTCCCCCCTTCCTGAACGTTCTCTGGTAATGAGTGTGAGGGTTATTCTTGCTGTGTTTTGCCAATTTGTTTTCTTTGGTTATCTATATCATACTCTAAAAAAGAATGAAATCAGCTGGTAATTATCTTTCACATTCTGACTTATTTCACTTAGCATAATTACCTCAAGCTCTATCACTTTTGTCCCCAAAGATACTATTTCATCTTTTTTAAAAGCTGACTATCTTACTATATTTTTAGCTTTTATCTGTCCTTGTGCTTATTATACCGGGAGACAGTATAAAATAGTAGTAGTGTCTTTTGTTAGTCTACCTGAGTGATAATTCTCATTATACAATTTATTTGCTATATGAATTTGGGAAAACTTAATTCCTAAATGCTTCAATTTCCTCAATTATAAAATGGAGATACAAACAGTGCGTACTTCAAACAAAGGTTGTTGTGAGGATGGAAAACACAGATCCGGGTACATAAAATATGCTTAGTGAACACTAGCTATTGTGAGTGAAATTCAGCATCTTTTAATTTGTTAAGGGCCCTCTAATTTCCTTTTCTGTTAACCTATATTAATCTTCATTACCCACTTTCTTCGTGGGCTATTAACATCTTGATATAGCTTAGAAATTAGTCCATTGCAATGAATTACAAAATATTTTCCGGGCTTATAAAAAAATTGGATGCTAATCACAGGAGATATTTGGTAGAAAATGAAACAAATGGTTACAAATATGTAAGTAAACAAATATGTACATTAACATATAAATACTACTAAATCAGATCTAACAAATTAATGTCAGGACAAAGGTAATTCAAGGCAAAAAGAATTGTGCAGAAAAAGCAATTGACTCCTAGTAGAGATGAACTCTGTAGCAAAGACATAACGCAGTAATCAAATAAAAAATATCACATCACGTTAAAATACAAAAAAGAATTCTTACGAGTAGAAGGTAATTTTAAGTTAGCATATAGATAATTTGATAATATTCAAAAGTTTCATTTGTAGATATACAATGAATTTATTTATATTTTAAAGATTTATTTTTATTTATTTATGCATATAAAAACTGGGTTATAGGCCAGAGGTGCAGGGGAGTGAGAGGAGTCACCAGAGACAGAGGGGGGAGCAGAACAGGAGCATATACTGAAATATACTGGTGAGGGGAGCAGGGGCAACACAGGAGAGATCTGCTGTGCCATATGTGAGTTAGTTCCCTGGCCACCCTGCGTGTGGGTGAAGAACTCAGACAGTGACCGGAAAACTATTTGGCACTGTCCTTGGCCAGTTTTAGTGCCCCTTACTGCCCTGTATCATACAGAGATCAGAACCAACAGGATTATACAAATTTAGAGACGGAGAACAGAGAGACAGAGAGAATGAGAGGCAGCTAGAGAGAGACTAATTTTAAGGGCCTTGTTCACATATTTGTGGAGACTGGCAAATTCATAAAGTGGGCAGAAGTTTGGAAATTCTGCCACAATTTCTTTCTGTGTTCTTTAAGGAATTCCTGAGGAAGAATTCCTTCTCGTCTGAGAAACCTCAGTTTACGTTCTGAAGGCTTTCAATAAATAGGATGCAGCCTACAATATTATGGTGGGTAATCTGCTTTAGTGAAAGTCAACAGACTGTGGATATTAATCTACAAAATGCCTTCACAGCAACATCTTACACTATTGCTTGACCAGCTAACTGGGCACTATAGCCCAGACAAGTTGATACATAAAATTTTACCATCACAAGGTGTTACTTCAGGCTCTTATGTCTTCCTCCTAATAGGAGAACCATAACAGGTTTCCATCTTAAACATGTGTATTGTTGCCAGGATTACGCCCAGACCTTTTGGGCTAATATCTCTTGGCTTTAAATTCCAGACTTGCCTCGGGATCCTCTTGGTCCCCTGTTCTTTTCCCATGGCTCAGCCTGTCCTGTCTCTGTGTCCATCTAATCCCAGTTTCCTGAGCTTCTGCTTACTCTGGGCTGTGGACTTTAAACAGATGAAAAGCTCTGTTTGAAGGGATTGTGGAAAACTTTTATGAAGTACTTGGCATTTTAAATAAGTAACATTCCTGATTTGTTTTTATTTTTACTAATTATATACTATTCAGTGAAACTTCAAAATAACTATATTATAAAATTCTGTCAGAGGAAAAAAGAGTAAAATAACCCATAATCACATCACCCTAGAATAACCACTCTTAACAGTTCAATACACTTCAGGGGTTTCCCTAAGTATATAATTTTGCAAAGTTGTAATCATACCCAATATACAATTTTATCATGTTTTTCCACTTAACATTGTATATAAGCATTTTTAATGTTGCCATATAGTCTTCAGGGCTGGCTTTGATAATAACTACACAATAGTTCACTGAATTGAAGTGCTTTATTTACTTAACTATTCTGTTATCTTTAAATACGTTCCAGTTTCTTCTTGCAATAAAAATGTACATCTTTGTGATTATAGTGTTGTTTTTCATGCCTTAAATTCTTTTACATAGATTTAAAATTGCTTGGTTAAAAAATATAATTTTTTTTTGTCACTCGACATAAATTTCCAGATAGATTTTTTTTTAAACATTGCTTCAATTTTCAAAGCTATAAGTGTAAATAAGGACCACTGTTCTTTGATTTCTTGAGAGGAGGCTGTTGACATGTGGGGATATGAGGTGTGGGGGTAGACATTGCAGCACCAAAGCCAGGCTCTTGCATGCGGGTGAGTACCCTGGTCCTCACTGGCACTTTATGTCGCTTTGTTTCTCACAGACTGAGCAGTTGGTGACCTTGGGGGTCCTCTTTGTTTTCACCATTGCTGGAAACTCCACTGTGCTGTTCTCTACATGGAGGAGAAAGAGGAAGTCAAGAATGACCTTCTTTGTGACTCAGCTGGCCATCACAGGTTCGTGACAGTGCAGGAGGGAGAGAAGCAAGCTGAGAGGAAATTCTATGGCTCCTCACTTTTTATTATTTTACCAAAAGAAATAGTATACCAACAGGCCAAAAGGCATTAGAAAACCCATGTTTAAATATTTCTTTTAGCAAACTTAATACATTTAAATAGCCGTAAGATCCCATTATAAAAATAACACACTAACAACAGATGTGAAGAATACCATAATCGGTGTCACCAAGTGGTTCTTTGGGGTTTCACTCTCCCTGCCACAGCAGCCTCCACAGTTCACCACAGTGATATCACCACATCATACCATACTATGAATCTAAGGCCTATATCCCTATATCTAATAATAAATGAAAAGTGTCAAGTACTTTGTAGATCTAAGTCTGTGGGCATTGCCTTTGAAATGTAAGTGACATGTACCATAATTGTTGGGCATAGTATAAGAACATAAGATCCGACCTGGGACCAGGATACTTAAATGTGTGTTTGGGGGATGGCCATATAGTATGAATGCCTTGTGCCATGAGGGAATGGTGAATAAGATATTCTTCAGTTACAAAATTATTTATGAAACAGAGACACCCCTAGAGATGGGTAGAATCCAAATTGGTAGGGTTCATGTTCAAAGACAGATGACTTTAACGACTGTTTTGGTACATCTCAACTTGTGCTGTATTCTCAATTGTAGTAATAACAGTGGAAAGTTCTTTGAATTTAGACTTGAGTCACAACATACAAAATTATGACACTATAAATTATAAAAGGACCTTAGCCATGCTACCCATTGTTGATAGCCTGAAATTCCCTCTCCGTATCTACAACGTATAGCAAGTCCCTCTACTTGAGCTGAACTACAGTAACCAGCCTGAAAGGCAAAGGCGTTGTTGAGAAATCCAGAGATGGTAAGAGGAGCCTGAGTCACAGAGGCACTTAGGTTAGGAGAAAACTCCTTTACTCCCTCCTATGAGCAGGAGTGCCATTTTCACTCCTATAATTATAAGAGTCAAGGGTTATTAGTATCAACCAGAAAATACTGAGATGCAGAATTGCTGGATGAGGGTGTATTAACTTATTTTCACTATATTTCTTCAATTACAACATTGTAACTCACATTGTGCAGAACTATTCTTTTAGAGAGTAAGAATTAAAAGGTGATGGATTATGGGTGCTGTGGGGGTAGGGGTGGTTTCGTAATACACCTAAAGAGGAACAAATCTCTACACCCAAGTCATATCAGTGTTATAAGTCAACATTACCTCAATTAAAAAAATCATACAATTTTTTGAAAAAAGAATTTAAAGATGGCAAGGATATGAGTTTGGAAGTTAAAGTGCTATCAATAATGGTTAATGAATTAAATTTTATAATGTCAAAAAGTGTATGTTCTATTCTAATTCATAGTCAGCTATATTAATCCAAGTTTAATTTCTAATGAATGTTCTTCTACTCTTTTTTATTTATTAATTCATTCTGGGAAAGTTCAAGAAGTCAGTTGAGGAATTTTTTTTTAATTTCCTAGAGGAAAGTTTTACCAATGGTCTAAGGTTGATCTAACTTCCTACATAAGATATTAACTTTTATTCCATATACATGTTGCCATGATCTCAATCCTTTGATAAAGGAGCTAAAATGTCAGAATGTAAGATACTTTGCTTAGGAGTCAACTGATCCTTGAGATTGATGTAAATGTGACTTGAGTCCCCTATGTCATGTTAATGTCTTCCCCAGGATTTTTTCAAATGTTCTAGACCTTGTATTCTTATTCATCACTTCTGGTTCTTGCTTCCTAATTCCACTGACCTTTTACTTGCTCTCATGAATATCTTACCTTGCCTAGTTGGTATTTTTATTGTTAATTATATTAGTCTCTGTCCTTAATAACACACTTGGCTCCCTTTTCCCTTATTTTCTTTAAAATCACCTCTAGAAATATGTATTTCTATATTTAAAATACTTTACTAAAATATTTCAGGCAACAGAAGGATAGTGCATCACAGAAAAGCAGTATGTTGAAATTGAATATTATATATTTTCAAAAATTTCAGCTACCATCAAACACTTCTCATTTACCTTGCTCTAGCCTTATGTCTTATTACTTTTCTACTTTCTTTCTCCTTCAAATGTTTATTTATCTGAATTATGGAATTCTGTTTCACTTACTGCTTTGAAACTGTGGCCTTGGGAACATTACATCTTTCTTAAAAAGTCAGCCATCTTTTTTAAACAAAGGAAGTTGCTCCCTTAAAAATCACCTCTAGCCAGTTGCAATAATAATCAGACAAACATACACATTTTTAATCTGTATTTCTGGATGGCAAGGGAGCTTTGAGCATAAAATATAGTCAAAATAACTGATAAAGGAATAAATAATTGAAATTTCACCATGAGTTATATTAATCTAGGCTAAAGTAGATTAATCATATTTACATATGTCAAAGATAACAATAAGCTAGTCTTAATTTGCATATATTTTGCAAATGTGTGCCCCTCTGCCTTTAAATTTTTTTCAGCTATACTTGAAATCCAATCCCCAGGACACAGACTGCGGTCAAAAGCAGCTTTGTTGGCACCATTGGCCCCATCATATATGGCCTGAGGGCCCGCTGGCACAAGCTGCACTTGAAAAAACAAAACCCAACCTGAGGGGGTGGTGAGGAAGCAAATATTGTTTAAAAATGAACAGTGATGTAAAAAATAAAAAAATTAATAAAACAAAACAAAACACAGCCAAAGCAGGAGAGCTCTTCCAGCACCCCTGCCCAGTGTGAGCAGGCCCGGTGGGGCTCAAGCTGGCAGTGGTGTTTACCCGGTCAGGTACCCCGTCCCTGGGGAAGGCAGCACAAAGCTGGATTTGGTTTTCTGACCAATCAACTACTCTGTGCCTTTCAATTGATTAGCTAAGGGCATTGATATTTGGGAAATCAATGAAATCAGTATAAACAATTATTGCCAATTTCTTATTTTTCTCTGGGTATATTTGTAATTTGTTTCTATTCTTTTGTTCTCTTATTTTCTTCCCTTGCATGTTGATAGTTACTTTTTATGTAATATCCGCTTCCATTTTTATCTTCTTGGTATTTTTGTTATAATGTTACCTGTGGTTTATGTGTTTGGTTCTGTACTTACAACCGATCTTTAGTTGTGAGTAAATTAATTTTAAGCTCCTTCCACCAGTCCCCATTTTCACTCTCCCCTCCCATTATACTATCTGATTTTATAGTCTTATTGCTACTAAATGAGGGTTCATTTTTTCATTAATAGCAATCCCTTTAATATTTCCTGCAAGGCATGTTTAGAGGAGATCAATGCTTTAGGCTGTTACTTATCTACATTTCTTTATCACTCCTTTGATTTCTGAGCATTAGCTCAGAGATTAGAGGCTTCCTGGTTGCAGGTCTTTTCCTTTCTGCACATTGAAAATGTCATGCCATTCCCTTCAGATCTATAAAATTTTTGCTGAGAAATTTGCTGATAGTCATACAGGGCTTCCTATATGTGTGACTCTTCTTTTTTTTCTGGTTGCTTTAAGAATTTTCTTTTTTTTAATTGTTTGTCATTTTAATTATAAAGTATCTTGTGTGTCTGTTTGGGTTTATTTTGTTTGGAGTTCTTTGAACGTCTTGGATCTTGATATTTGTTTTCTTCCCCAGTTTGGAGAGGTTCTTAGCAATTATATCTTCATATAGGAATTCTACCCCTTTCTCTCCCCCTTCTGGAATCCTTATGGTTTGGATGCTGTTCCTCTTGATGCTGTCCCCTAAGTCTCTTTTGTTGTCTTCATTTTTTTTAAATTATTTCCTCCTTTTGTTGTTCTTCTTGGATGGTTTCCATTACCACATTTTCTGTCTCAATATTTCTCTCCTCAGCCTCATTGAGCATATTTCTGATTTCCTGTGTTGCATTTTTAATTTCAACGATTGCATTCTTTATTTCTGTGATTTCTCTTTAGAGTTCTCTCACTTTTTTTTCCTGTCCTTGTGTTTCTTGTCTTGCACATCCATTGCTCTCTTAATTTCATCAGGCTGCTGCTCTGAAGTATCTTTGAGTAGTTTGGTTATTTCCGTTACATTACAGATTTCCCCCAATGTTTTGTCTTGATCCATTGACTGGGGTGAATTCCTCTTCTTCCTTGTTCTATTTGATGTTCTGTGATTATTTCTATGGATTGAGCTCCATGACTTTTCCTCCCAGCCCTATTGTAATGGTCTTGCTTTAGAATTGTACCCCAAGGGTGCTGTTTTCAGATGCTGTTCTTTCTGTTTTTGTGTTGGTTGAAACCTCGACCCAATCAGAATCAACAAAACTCAAGAGCAGCACAGGCTGATTGTCCACGATTCCAGTCTGTAGGGTGTAGACCAGGTAGGGCAGCTGATTGTATGTGATGGTTGCTGTAGTAGACTATCTAACTCAAAGCCTCCCTCAGTGCTGCAGCTGTGTGAGCTGAGGATATGCCTCTGCACTCACCATCTGGTAAAGGCTAATTAAGTTAAACCACTAGTAGTGTTCTCCTAGGAGCCCCAAAATTCAAATGACCTTTCAGCTTCAGTCTAATTCTAATCTCAGCAGGCTTTGCTGGTAGTATCTTTCTCCTGAGCCTCTGGCAAGAGCAGAGTGGCCAGGAACCTGTGGACTTGGTCCACATGCTACTGGGAGAAACTGTAGATGCATAGTAGTTAGGCTTGTCCAATGCCTGTTAAGCCCAGATGGGGGAAGGGCTGATGCTTCTCGGCATCACCAAGCCAGCTGCCATTTGTTCTTACGGTAAGGGGAGCTCATCCATCCAACTGTAAAGCACAAGGAGTTGAGCAGAAGGGTCATTTCTGTGGGTGGTAAATGTTGTGACTTGTCTACTAGAAAAAGCCTTCCCTGCTCCTTGGTGGGCAGTGAGAATACACAGAGGTTCAAAGTCTGATGATTGCCTCCAATCTCAGGAGGAAGAAGGGTGTGGGTCCTTCCTGCCTCTGTGCCATGAGTAATTCTAGAGGACTGTGCCCTCAAAA